CCATCTGATTTGAAAATATTCGGAAATAATTTTCATTTAGTCCTTGTGGATAATTGTCCTCTTTAGTAGTCTTTATTCCTGGTCCAGAAAGTTAACCTCTGTCAGACGCAGACTCGCTGTTGTCACAGCCTCCATAACCCCTACTTTAACCCCATAAATGTGGTTGGAAGACAAATTCGAAAGGAAGTCTGAATTTGTGAGTTTCCTACACACATCTTTACCTAATTGCGTCCCATATTCGCTAGCTAGGATATATAGAAAATATGTCAATCTCATTGCGGACGAAAGCTCTGCAAGGATTCATCGAGGTTGCAGAGTGTTACGCACAAATCTACAGTCACAGTTCCGAGGAAATCCTTCTTCAGCTTCAGGTGTAACCAACTTAATAAGTCCTTCCACTCTTCCCTTCAAACAAAATGAATGTAATTCAACATCAATCCATTAAGGGATATTTTGAAATTACTTTTTATACATCTCTTCTAAATACTGTTAGTAACCGACAGAAGAAGGGTTTCTTGAGGATTAGGTTAACCTAAAGTTCTCAATAAAGCAAGGGTGCAGAAATCGACTAATGCATTTCTTGATCATACATTTCTAAGGAAATGAATGTAGCCTAAAAATGACAGACCTAGGAATTCTTCGAAAACTATCTTCTCCTTGAATATGTCATGCCAATTACTGATAATGCCCAATAGAAGATGAGTTTATATAGCAACTTGAAAACCAACTTAATACAAATTTTGGTGATCCTTTTAAAGAAAGTATTTGGCTGAATATTTTCAATTACCATACATCAAACTTAGTTCTCTGATTTCATACAATACTATTGAAATGGATATAAAAATGCATGTATTATTTTCGCTTACACTTCTCCTTCTGGTGCATATTTTGACCCCGTTATTTCAAAGTGCATTGTCTCGCATTCCTTCTCCTCAGCTTTGGTGAAGATAAACATTCTGCACACGCTCATCTGATTTGTGGTCAGAGTTCCCGTCTTGTCCGAGCAGATGACGCTTGTGCAGCCTAGGGTCTCAACGCTAGGAAGTGAGCGGACGATGGCATTCTTTGCCGCCATTCTTCGAGTTCCTAAAGCCAAACAGGTCGTGATCACGGCTGGCAAACCTTCCGGTATAGCGGCCACTGCAAGAGCTACGGCGATTTTAAAGTAGTAGATGGCTCCGCGAAACCAAGAGCCACCGTGTGCTGGATCATTGAAGTGGCCTATGTTTATCGCCCAGACGGCGACACAGATTATCGAAATGACCTGTGAAAGGTATAAGTAATAGAGATGTTGGAAAAATGGGTAGATTTTTCCAAATAATGGTGTCCTCAAGTTGAGGAAAGATATCCTTAATGTAAGCAAATGAACAAAATTCACATAAATTATTGATAACATTTCAGCTTTTTTAGCTCCCTGAAAGCATGCCTGTCAGAGTTCATGGTATTAAACAAAAAGTATCCGGAAGTCAGCAGCCTCAGACTCAAACTAGGACTATGCAACTATTCTCTTCATCAATATTTAGGCCTTTTTTTGTAAAATAATTGTCCTCCCCTTGATGAGGTATGCCTTACTGATAATAATATAATTGGAGCCAAACGGCAGAAAACCTGGTCTCTGCTAGGCCCAGATACTAAGATCTTTCATTTCCACCTTCAATAAAATGTGATATCTTGTCCAAATTTTTCTCCATCTTGACTTCGAAACAACATTATAATTTAGTCGGAGCTATGAAGACCAAGATGGTGTGGCTTTTTGTATGGTCGCAGTCTCTTTTCGTTGTGTGGAAGTTGTTTGACATTGTTTTCGCAACTTTATCATATTAGTAAGAAGACTTGGAGAAACGCACCTAGTCCGGAGTCCATTGTATGCATCATCATTTCCAGAGTAGGACCGTGGACGTGGTAC